GAGGCTAGAAAAGCACATTTCTAGAAGGCTAGAAAAGCACATTTCTCTCAGTTTAAATCGTGTGGGTTTTAGTCACTTCCTCGCAGCAACCAGAACGTCTATTTGAAAAAAAAAAATCAGAAAACAAAACCTATGTATGTTTCTATAGCAGCTATTATAGGAGTTCAAATGGTTTGTGTGTCAGTCTAAGGAGGTTGTGTTTGTGTCTGTGCCTAGTATGTGATGATAACCTCTGCCCAAGTGAAAACTACGTAGAAGAAATAATTTGTTCAATACCTTTCGGAAGGAGAAAGGGCAAGGGTTACAGAAGGAGGCAGCATGTCAAGATAAATGATACCTACATTGTCTGAGGCTGTAGTCCGGTGATGACCACCTGTACATATTTACAACAGTTTGAGAAATTTATTTTCAGGTGTTTGCTCCTTCTTCACCAGCCTGCTTCCAAACTGAGTCTGGGGAATGGAAAGTGCTACTTTGCTTCAAAACAACATTAGCTTACACTCTGCTGTAGATGGCTTAAATTAAGGCAGCTGATGTTGCACTGAAATATCTGAGGATGCTGTGTCTTGTTCTCTGACTCGGCTGTGTGGGTTTAACAATCTCCAACTGAGTGAATGGCACGTACTGTTTCTGCTATGAACCATTGCCTTGTTAGATGTGTTAGGTACGACTCATACGTGCATTTAGCAGGACTATTGAAGTGATCTTAACTATTTAAAATGCCTTCATCCAGCTACTGTTACTGTATTAATTACGTGTTGCTCTGTGTCTCACTTCTATCACTTGTCTGTTTCAGCTTTTATGACTAAATTAATTCTTATTCATGTACAAGATATTAATCTATGTGACTGTACACAAAGTTTGCAAGATACCAAAAGAAATGAGTACTAAAAATCCTAATATATGCATCTTAGGTGGGAGTTAATCTTCATGCAAAATTGATAAATGGGGTAGTAGAGTTAATATCACTTTTAAGAGAAAAGCCCTGATTCTGTCCTACATTTAATTGTGGATTATCAGTGTATGATCTGAACCAAAAGGGGTTATAAGACATCACTCATTGCACCAACTGGTATGCTTGGAAAAATGATGAGGTTCTGGATGTAAAAGACCATCTCCTAATGGGAAGACCAAAGCAGCAAACTGCGCTAAGCAAAAGCTGTCAGCAGTTATTCTGAGCATTATCTCCTAAAGAAATGTAGATATAACCACTTTCACAACATAATTAATTCATCAGTTAGACAACTTAAGAGGCACGCCTCTGCAGCAGAAATAGGTTCTAAGGAGGTGGCTCAGTCATGTAATGAGCACTGAGAATAGGACATTGTAGAAATTGAGGGCTTCTCCACAGAAGAGAGAGAAAATAGTAACATGCCATAAAATTGATGCGTCTATGGAGTCTATAATTTTGTGTACTCGTTAGAGGTAAAGATTTAAGTTTTCAGGTTGATCTTGGAGGTTTTAGTGAGTCTGGGTGGAGGATCAGAGCTAAATTTTTCAGAAACAGAAGAATTATTATATAAAAGAAGTATACCACAGGCTTAGGATATGTGGAGGATTCTGCCGTGGGTGAAACTGATGATTGCACCAAGAAGGGTGTGCTCTGCTTTGGTTTCCCCATCATCGCTCTGGTTCCAGTTGGAGTTTTGGGGCACATGAACAGTTTACTTGCAGTGAGGAGTTTGGTAAGGTTGCGTTAGGGTGCCACGAAGGCCTAGGGCTCGCCGGGCGGGGGCTGCCGGCGGGGCCGGAGCTGGGCGGCGTCGGGGCTGGAGGCGGCGTCGGGGCTGGAGGCGGCTGTTTCTGTGAGCGTTTATTTTAGGCATGCAGCGTAGATGGGATAGCTTCTGTGATTTGTTTTACTAAAATAGTTCAATATCTTTTGGGAGTACTGGCATAGTTTAAACACTGTGAAGGTGACAATGGGTAAGAGCTCTGTTCGTAAGACAAGGCAGTCCTTCAAATTCGGTTTAGGACTCTTTACCTTGTACACTTATCTCAAAAGATATGCTGCAATATCTCATTTAAATTTCAAAGGCCAACTTTTCTATTGTAGCAACATAAAATTGGAGTAGCTCCATTTTCTTCACTGTGCATGTCCTATCCCCTGGGAAAATATTTAGAAAGTATAGGGATGCAAATTTATGCAGCTAGATCAGCAAAGACCTAAGTGCAGACAGACTTTGATGAACTGATTCGAGTTTGATTGATTTGATTACATTTCTCTCACCTTAACTACATTTTAACATTTGGGGAGGCGGAGGGACGGACGCAGCTCAGTGGCTTATATTTTGACTGTCTGTTAACCAACAATCATCATATCTGTCACTTTTATAAGAAAACTGATATGTAAATTAGAGCTATGAAGCAAACATTTTCCCTATGAGAGGGTTTTCATGAATGAATTTTCTTTGAATTTTTATTCGCTCTTATATTTTCGTGGATTTTTTTGCCTATAGTATGTGTATTCTTATTACAATTTTGCTGAACCAAAACAATTCACTTAATTACTAAATTTGAAAAGAATGTAAAGAAAAATTTATTTTTTCATTTTTAGGAACACTGCTACATGCTTATATCTATACAGTATGCATGTTGCAGCTTTCTCTTATTGAAAGAACTTAATTTTAAATAGTAAGTTAGACTGCTCTTCTCAAAGCAGCATTAAGCAGTTACATTCACTTCTGTTGAATTTCAGTGTGAACCTTCTGAGCTGGCACAAATCACCTTCTATAAAATTTTGTTGTGTGCCTTTATTCAGCTTTTGGTTATGCCTAGGTGAAATAAAAAGGCTGAATTAAATATGTTGAAGTTCCTTGTATTTAGTCAGCTGTTATGTATAAAAATTTATCTGAACAGGAACATTTTGGATAAAAAAAAAGGTGTATGGGTTTAGCTGTATCAGGTACAATTCCCTACGCTGGATGAGCATGTTTCACCTGGAAGTAGTGAAATAATGCTGTTGGCATAGCTTCTAAATTAGTACCCTTTTCAGATGAATGGATGACACTATCTGAATTGTCATAGAAAAGAACATTTTGAAGGTGGTTTAATAAGCAGAATAGCTAGAAAACCTCTTCAGCTTTAAAAAAAATTATATCAACAATATTTACTTAGTAGAGGACTTTATCATTTCTTTGACAGCAGTGATTTGTAAGCTGGTGATTGTCAATTGTTGACAGCAACTGATCAGTCAGACAGCAGACAAAGAATCCAGAACTTTGATCTAATTTGTGTATGATCTAGCTATGAAAATTTTAAGAGAATTTCTCCTTGAATTACCTAGGCTTTTAAAGAGAGTCGTATGGGAGAAAGGCAGATATATTTATCAGAGTTTGCTTGTGCACAGAGTGGCATATCTGATTTCATCAAGAGTAATTGCTTTATTTGTAATAACTTGGAAGTGACACAGATAGTTAACGTTGGAGAATAGCAAGAGCCTCACTGTAATAACTGTTTAAGTATCTTTAGGCACATTTCTTGCTGTTACTTTCAGAAACACAGAAACAATATTAAAAGGCCTGAGGAGACTTAACTGTATACTTGGAGTAGATAGATGATCTGAACTCCATGCCACTGGGTGGATTATTCTATCTTCTATTCATCTGGTTCACTATCTACAGTCTCTGAAAGCTATACCTTGACAGGCTTGAGGATTATTATGTGGAGCTCTTGCTGTTCCAGCTGATCTTTAATTTCAGTATGTCTCAGCATGGTCTTGAAGCTCTTTTTGGATTCTGTTCCTTTGACTTCAAGTTTCTCCTTAATCTCATCTTTCTTCAATTTGGTCTTTTCCCCTCCCCTTTGTCCCCTGTCTCTCCTTTAGCTGTTTCTTGGTCTGTTTTTCCTCCTCCTCCTTAATCTCCGGCTTGGCCTCTCTCTTGTCCCTGATTTGAGGCTCAGCCTTTTCTTTTGACACAGGACTGGCACTCTCTCCCCTTCTCTTTGACCTTAGACTTAGCCTTTTTATGTCCTTCGTTTTTAATATATTTTATTTTACGTTCTTTCCTGGTGTTGCATACTCTCTGGCCTGGAGTTCCCCTAAGGGAATGTACCGTTCCGTTCACCATTCAGATTTCTTAACATGGCAAATCACTCTGTTCTGCATCATCAGCATTTCTGTTGTTTGTTTTGCTGTTTTGGGCTCAGATCGCATTAGTGTAATTCTTCCTGACTTCTATATAGCAATTTGCAAATTCTTCAGAAGTTATTTTTGTTAATTTTGTTTTTTAATTCAAAATGAGTCTAACATGTTTGTTTCCAGATTGTTTTTTTTTTTTCTAGGTTTCCTTTTTTATTTGCTTGTTTTGTTGGCTGTTGTTTTTTTTTTTTTCCTCTCAGCAGTTTTTACCTGCAGTATTTATTTTTAGGTTTATTTGGAAGCTCATTGCACTGCTATTGTCGTCCTTTTATCCTTTTTGTTTTCATTTGTTAATGTTGTTAAAATCTTCAGATTTCCTATTAAGATGTATATCATATGGTACTCAAGTATTTACTCATGTTCTTTCTTCTGATTAGGAGTTTTCATCAATCTTCTCTGCCATATCACACACAATATCTTTCATTTCATAGGTATCATAGTTCGTGATAATCCTGCTGTAACCCACATGAGAAATGTAGCCACATTTTGCCCTTGATCTTATTAGCAAAGAATATGCGGGTATATCGCAATACTTTTGAAGACAGGAAGATTTCTTCCAGAAATAATAGTGCTGGTGTACTTGGAAAAATTAAGTACCATGCCTCAGAAATAGCTTCGTTCCTCCTTCCTCGTCTCCATCTGATGGAGGTATTCTCAGCCTTTCAGTGTCAGTGGTATCTTTCCTCTGCTGCTGCAGTGTTTGGAAGCAGCCCATTTTCTCTGAAGAGCAGTTTTGGATTGTCATTTATGTTAGGCTGTTCTGCTTGCTTTCTCTGTTCATCCTTGGTTTCCGCTAGGTTTCTTCCTGACCTTGCAGACTTTGCCACAGATTCATATCTCTTCTTTCTTTTTCTTTTAGCTTGTCTCTGAAGCCACCCACCTGTTCTGTGGGAAATTCTAGTTGCTTCTGGCTGAGGAAACAATCCCTCACCTCTGACTTCAGAGGAGTGTCAATCTCTTTCCTGCTTTCTCTGAGTATGCTACTGCAAGGGGATCCTTATGGGACAGGCAGCAATCGAGACGAGAGGCGCAGGTAGGTTCATAGGTAAAGCAGACAGAGAAGAAGCAGAGGATCAGAGGAAACTACAATGGCAATGTTAGAGAGAGAGAGAAACAATACAAGTTCCACCATATCTTCCTGATCTGCTTGAAGACAATAAATGTAAATGGAAATACATCCATTTAGGGTGAGTGTTTAGATGAGAGGCTTCCTGTCTTCTGGCATGCTACTTCTGGTTAAAGCTGAACAGTGAACCTTACTGGTTCCCCCCATAAGATCACAGAATCAAAGAATGATTGAGGTTTGAAGGGATCTCTGGAGATCAACTAGTCCAACCCCTGGGCTCAAACAAGATCAGCTAGAGCACATTGCCCAGCACCCTGTCCAGATGGCTTTTGAATATCTCCAAGGGTGGAGACTCCACTACCTCTCTGGGCAGCCTGTGCCAGTGCTCAGTCACCCTCACAGCAAAAAAGTTTTTCCTCATGTTCAGATGGAATTTCCTGTGTTTCAGTTTGTGCCCGTTGCCTTTTATCCTATCGCTGGGCACCACGGAGAAGAGTCTGGCCCCATCCTCTTGACACCCTCCATTTAGATATTTGTATGCATTGATGAGATCCTCCCGAGCCTTCTCTTCTCCAGGCTAAACAGGACCAGCTCTTCCAGCCTTTCCTCATAGGAGAGATGCTCCAGTCCCCTTATCATCTTCGTAGTCCTTCACTGGCCTTGCTCAAGGAGCTCTGTGTCTCTCTTGTACTGGGGAGCCCAGAACTGGACACAGCACTCTGGGTGCGGCCTCCAGGGCTGAGCAGAGAGAGAGAGGATCACCTCAGATTTTCCGTGTTAATGAGTTTCCTCTCTCTTGCTTAAGAGAGAGTTCCTGTACATTTAGCAAATGAGAAGTTACATTTTACTGCCTTCTAAATTGCTTGATACTTACATTTGTTGTAAGTAAAGAAAATAAGGTGCCATCACTTTTTTCTTAGATATCTGTAATTCAGTTAGTATATGTGAGAAATGGATGGTTGTGTTCTGACTTAAAGCCCATAATTTTTGACTCATGAGATAAGTCAGTCGTGTAACATTAGGAATGCCTAATTTTTCCTACTCAATCTAAAGGAAGGTTGAGGTCTGATTTAGATATTTAGCTTTTAAATTCCTAAATTAGGGCACAAGTGGATTTCGTTTGCATGCTTCTGGCACTCTTCCAGCTGGTATCATGTCCGTTTCCTGGTGCAAGATCTATCTTTAGCTTTCCTTTTCTGAATCCCCCCCCAACAGTCCAGACAATAAACAATTGAAAGAGAATCATCTGCTTATCAGCTACTCTGACTTCTGGGCAGTTGATGCTGAGAGAACATCACAAAACTGCCCAGACATATCTACCCATTGTCTTCTCAATGATTTTCTGATTGTAGTTTAAAAAAATTTGAAAAGCTAATTGCTATGGAATGTGTTCCTATATATAAAATGCTTAAATTGTAATTTGGGAAGAGCTTATTAATACAATTGTCAGAATAGAAAAATATTAATTTGCTATGAAACTGAGTCAATAGAGAAAAATATTCAAGCACTGTAACTGACACAAATGTAAAGACGTATGTAAAGATACATTAGTGACTGCATTTAAAGTTTCTGCATTTAGAGATGCTATGTTTTTTCAGAAATACCTCGTGAACCTGACTGCTAAAATTGAAGTTAATTACAATATTCCAGTCATTGTGATGAATAAAATTGAGCATGAAAGACTTAGTAATTCTGTTTAGGTTATGTCTGGCTATTGCAAAACACTGTTAGAGGTTTTCAGTATAGCTGGAGAGATTAGGTCATAATATTTCAGAGACAGAGGTTTAATTTCTCTTAAATATAATGATAGAACATAAGCCTTAGTTGTTTTTAATTGTATTTGCTGTATTGCCTACAAAGTCAGACTGTTGTGATAATTCTATGGAATAAGCCAAACAATAAGGTCAAGTTGAGCAGCATTAAAATTAGGATGATTATAGGACCATCCGATTTAAGTTATCACTGAGTCTTTAGACTGAAGTGTCAAAAACTATTTTTAACTTCAGAAAAATATGCCTAAAAGGACTGCCAAATTCCCTAAACATTTTTATTAGAATTTTATAATTCTGAGGAAATCATTTGTTACAATTATGGAGAATAAAATGTCATTTTTGACAAGAAAATATATACTGAAGACTTCTATATTTTGTCTGACACCTTGAATACTAGTCACTTTGCTGCAGCATGCACCCAAGAACATACTGATAAAAAGGAATTGTAATGTTTGCAGTTGTTTTTAAGAGAACAATTGCCTATCACAGAGATTAAGTCTAAAGGAGAGCTGTAAATAGGCAAGAGAGATCAGTGTGGCTTAGCAGAATATACAAAATCTAAACTATAATCTAGTCATCTACAATTAAAGTCGATCTGGCAAGGAGAATTAGGAGATACATAAAGCAAATAGAATGGAGGTGAAAATGATAAACATGGAGGCACAAAGATAAAGACTTGAAAAACTAGGTCTTCGAAAACCTACTTGACAAATAGCACTTCCTTCATTTATTTTTATGCTTCAGATCTGAGCATTGCTTTGGTGCAATGCGGAGACCTGAGGTGAGTTTTGTTCACTTCCTGCAGTAGGAATTAAACTATAAAGAGTGACAAAATAAAGACATATAAGTTTAAACTTAACTCAGAAGGAAAAGAGTGTTAGGATTAGTGGATATTCACTGACCGGCCATTCCTTGAAACCTTCCTTATTTCTTATATCCTAGATTTAATCATCTACTACTCTCGGAGAACTGGAATGCCTGTCAGAATCTACGTAGTGAGCACTGAAATCTCCAGTAAAAGTGACACTATCATACGGAGAGATTTAAGACATTACTGTAGCTTGGAATAAAGATTGCCCTAAACTTCAACATCTGATTCCTCAATGGGTGTGTATGAAAATTTATGGTGTTGCCAGGCTTCCCAATGCCCTAAGTGTCCAGATGGACACTTTCACTGTTTAGCTAGGATGTATCACAGATTGTTTATTCATGAGGAATTGTGCTTTGCTTCCATATTTTTAAATTTCTCCCTTTCCGGCTGAAATAGGTATATTCAGGTATCCATCCCCTGGTATATATTTTCAGTTTCTAAAATAATCACCTTCTTTATACTCAAGTAAGTCCTGTGTTTGCAGCTCTTCAAATGAATTGTACTTACATTGAATGATGTAGTTGTAGTAAGTCAAAGAATTAATAAGAGCAATAGTTATTCAGTGAGATTAAGACTGTAGAATGTGCCAGTGGCAAGTAAGGATTAAATTCTGATTTTATTTACACCATTGATTTTGAACAAAAATGAATCCCAAAATCTAACTGATTTTTTTTTTTTCTTTAAATGATATTAGGATATTTGCTGAAATATAGGATGGAAACTCAGTGCATTAAAATACAGATTTTTTATATATATATATATATTCCTTAGGATCTTCATTGATAACAGCTAATAATTTCTTTTAATAGACTATAACTATATTTATGTACTTAGTGGGTGTTTGTGTGTGTGTGGATAGGTATACTGTTTGTGATGGTAGTCATGTTTCAGCAGTTATCCGGAAGTCATGTCTGTTTCTACTGGAAAATACCATGTAAATGGACTTTGAAAGCCATGTAAATTTGCAGAATATATTTTTCAGCTCATTGCAGAAGTCTTTGTTAATAAGCACTATACTGTGGCCAAATGCGTTGTGTGATTTTTCTGACACAGCATGGTTTGCTTCGATTTTGTTAGGAAGCTAGGAATACTGGATGGCCTAACCCTTGCTTCTGTAATGTGTTTTGAAATTTTATTTTCCACACAAAGTACTTGTCTCTAATGATTAACATAGTCATAAAAAGAACAAATGATATGCAGTGCCTTGGTGCTTTGAGAGAGGTGCAGCAAAAAATATAAGCAGTACATGAATGTCCCCTGAGAAATATGTGCAGCTATCAGTGCCATAAATTCAGCTATGTTGGCTTTTTTGAGGAGAGAAGTATTTCAGCTAATATGGTCTTGGAACCTATTCAAATTAGCTGAAATAACTTTTTAAACACATTAAGGTCAGAGTTTTGAATTGCAGTGTCTCAGGATAGTTCTGACAGAAAGGACTGGTGTTGGAAAATTGGCTATTCATTGAAGTGTCATTTGGAGTGTAAGCTATGGTTTTGAATTACCCATTGGTCCCAAAGAAACTTCTGGGAAATGCATATTGTTATTCTGGCCATCATCATTGCTTTTGTGGAGAGAAAAAATAATAAATAAAAGCACTGTATATTGATGTGAGAAAATAGGTAAGTCCTGGGAAGCTAATTGAACTGTTTGGAACTGAAACAGGCTGTTCTGAGGCTTCAAATATGGAAATCTGATTGAAGAACAGTAGGAGGTGCACCTCTGGCATTTTGGCATAACCTTTTCTGTCAATTTGCATACTATTTAATTTCAGGAAAGAAGAATTAATAGTCAAATGAGATCATATTTCATATTTGAATAATATTTAGTATATGTTTACTGAAATATTTTGTACAGGAATAATGTAAAAAGTGAGAATTTTTTTCTCTTTTATCTTAAAGTACTTGCTTTAGCTTTCATCCGAAATGATTACTTTTTTGCTATCCAGGTTTTATAGGAAATCTATTTCGGGAGCAGAGATCCATCTACAAATAAGAAATATTGCTAGTGATTGTTATGACAGAAGTTAATATACTGTGATCAATATATTTGTCCTCTGGGTATCAATATTCTGAAGTTTTTTTTTTTTTAATCTTGAAAAATCAGAAATATAGCTGAATTCATAAATACTTTTTCTTCATCATTTGTGACTCATAAACTTGGAATATAGGAGAGAGGAATGAATTTTAGCCAACAGTATTTTCCACTTTTATCTTTTATGGAAAGGTGAAAAGATGTAAAAAAGGAAATGCTTGTGGTGACATCTATTTATTTCCGTGTTTGTTTATTTATTTTTCTTCTTTAATTGAACAGCACTATGTATTTCTTCCTAACAGGAAAAAATGCTGCTGCAACTGAAATGATATCATGCTGCTTCTTTTCGGAGGATTCTGAAGGCTTCACAAAAATACGACACAGTGGTAAGTGCTAAAATACATTCAGAACAATTCCATTTTCTGTAAAAGTATATTAAAGACATGAATAATGATTCTCTGTTGCTAATGTTCTCAAATTCATTTGAAGTATGTTTTTGCGTTGTGTATTTGCAGCTAAAATGCTTGTAGTTTCGGGTGCTTTCATACAAGGCGTGGGATGCAATCTATTCCAACATTTGTGCTGTTTATGCGCTTATTCTTGATAAACATGAACTTAGTATTATTTTTCAATTTTGGTAATATTAACTGTGACCAATTAGTCTTTGGTTAAAAGATATGGGATTAAACCTGGCTACTGTAACTTCGCTAATCAGTAACATTTGGGTTTTCCAGGACACGGTGTATTAGATAGAGCTGAAAAATCTTCAGTTTTCAAAATAAGATTAGGGAGGACGTATATAAATGACCAGAAAACAGTTTCTGTGATGCATAGGTCCTCCTTCTCACATTATATGCACTATGAATTTCTAAGCAGATGTGGCTTTTGCTGTGATCATTGCACTAGCTGCAGTGCAATGACATTTCAATTTAGTATAATCATTGGGTCCTAAATACAAGAAGAAGGAATAGTAATATATCTGATATGATAATGAAGTTATGCATAAGCAATAATTCATACTATGCCAGGTTAGTTATGAGATCCAAAGGTACCATTATGTGAAGTGTAAAAATCAGACAAAGAAAATAACAGCTTTGAAAACTCATGTGATTTTTGCATCACTGAACTATGTTTATTCCAATTTGTTATAATTTAAATGACATTGAATAAAGAGCATTTTCTGAACAGGAGCCTGTTTCATAGTTTAGCATGCATGTTGATCATGATCAAAGCTGAACTCTTATTGATTACTATAACAAATAGTATACATATGCATGAATATCATCCATAGGATTCAGTTACATACTCTCGTCAAAAAACATATGAAATTTCTTCAGGATAGAGGCAAGTAGTTGATATAAAGAATCCAAAACTGCCATCAAAGTCAGAATTATCCCTGAATTTATTTTAAACTAGCAGTTTATAGTAGTTTTGTATCATTTTGTACTGGAATTAGCCATAGCCATTTTCCGAGAAAGGAGAGAAAGTATCTACTCAAGACGTATTACAGTACTCTGTGATAATCTGGAAAAGAAATAAAAACCTGCACAGCAGTTTGTGAAGGAAGGCTGGAGGGGACTCTGAGGGAATAGTGTGATTTTAATTTTCACTATTTTCTCAAAATTTTGTTTGCTTATTCTTAATAATGCACAGAAAGAAAGTCAGAGAGGGAGCAGGCGAAGAAAGGGAAGCAAACAACATTAAAACAGGAAAGTGAGATACAGCCTATTGATGTCAGCTGTTTGACTCCCACTCCAAGTTAGTGGACATCAGAAACCAGTTGTGCCTTTTGAAAATTTGCCTGTTAATGTGAAGTGATAATTGGAATATACATAAAAGAAAACAGAAGAGTAGAAATTAAAGTTGTAAATCTGCTCCTAATTTATGTCAGCTTCTCTTCTGCTCGCTAATTTCCTGAAATACCCGTAGTGACAAGCATGTATGTCCATTTGCAAACTCCAAGTAACTTACCTAACACACAACAGAGTTATGCTAGTATATGTTAGGGAATTTGTCATTTTGCCTGGAAGAAGCTTGAATTCTTGGGAGAAGTGTGTCTAGACTCAAACTGAAATGCATCTGAAGACTTTCAGAAAAGTGTAGGACCCAAGGCCAACTAACTTTGATGATCACAGCCGAGTATTTTTAGTGGATCACAGTGATCTGTTTTTATGCACAGAAGAACTCTAAGAATGGTGTGAATCAGTATTTGTGTTGATTCAAAAACTAATTAGGTGTGGTAGCTTAGACAGATTGTTGACAGGTTGCTGTATGGTCTGCTGCTTATTTTTAAGAAAAATGCAGAAAAGACTCCTCATGCCTTTGTCACTTTTTTTCTTGCTATCATTCTCAGCCAAAAATGTGAAAAAACTTCATCATCATAAACTGAAAAGTGTAACTTATTTTTAGAGTACGCAGCAAGTATTTACTGGCAATGCACAAGACAGTAAATATAAAAGCACAAAGTCGACTGTTTGCTTTGTCCTCAGATGTTATCTTGTTTCCCAAGTAGATACTAGTTTAAATGACAGGATTTCATTCTAAAATCCTGACCTGACAGCTGACTGTGCAGATGGAGCCCTGTAGTAGTCTGTGGGATGCTGTGTAGGTTCTCTGATGTAGCCACATACTGTCAGATTCTTGGTCATGTTCTCAAAGTCTGATCAAGCCTTCTGTCTTATATCATTTATGATAACAAATATGTAGGAATAATAAAGCCTTCATATTAGAAAGAAGAAATGAATCATTCCAATTCCAGTCCTGGGAGTTTTAGGAAAGGGATCAGCTCTTAATTCTCTGAGGAAAACCCAGGCACAATATAACCCTCATCCTTGCAGCTGTGAGCTCTCCTCAGTCTCCTTTTCAGCTCTTGGGATCCCACTTTGTTGACCAGAATCTTCTCTTTGCCTCTTGTTTGCCTCCAGGGTTTATGACTGGTGAATGTAAATGGAAACACGCTCAGCTGAGCAGTTCAACTGCTTGTTAAACAGTGCCTTCAACTCTTCTTTCTAGTTTTCTGGTTGATTTTCACTGTATTTGACACTCCTAGATGGAAGAAAAATATTCCCTGCATTTTCTTCTTTCTTTGTGGAAAAATTAGGCTAGTTTTAGCATGAGACTGAAATCCATCATTTAAGTAGGCTCTTAAGAGCTATACTGTGACACAGAGGTTATGCAGACATTGCCTATAGTGCACCGTCTTTCTTCATTCTCCAGATCCTTTCCTTTCTGTTTCAAAATTAGGAGAAGTCAGACAATTTGAAGTGGTGCCTTTTGAAAAGATAACAGGTGTATTTTCCAAACTGAAACATATTGATAAGTAAGACCATGTAATGAAGTTATCAATCAAGTGAATATCCCAGAACTAATAATCTGGTCTTGTTGATTAGTTGTGGCTGATACTCAACATTTCAATAACTTTCACTGAGTAACATAATGAGTAAGCAAGTGAAAGAGAAATAGAAAATAATCACGTTATACATTTCATAGACAAATTCACTTGACTAATTAAAAGTGATTTTTGAAGTTGGGTTATGTTCAATTCAAAGAGGTGGAGTACAAGTTTTATTACTATCTGTAATGGTAAAACTTGAAAATGGTTTACCACCCTGACACTGTACTGTACTGACCAATAAGACTGTGATCATTTTTGTTTGTTTTATGCCTAATTGAACAGTATGGGAAGGGAAGAGCATCTCCCATATCTTTTGGTAAATATCCCTGTAGCTTGCCATTAGCCATTCAGTTGCTAGTTTCCTCAGTATTTATATACAAGGTATAATATATCTGAAAGATTCTCTTTAAGAGCAAGTTTTTGTGTGCTTATGGAGACCCCACGGCTTAATTTGACCTCTGCACACTGAAGTCTAAGTTTCTTTTTGAAACAATTGATAGAAGGAGATCTCTGGGACCATCAACTTCAGTCTCTATCATAGGGGAACCATATTGTGTAATCCTTTTTATACAGGTTATGATGTAGGGTATGAAACCAGGGGCCACACTTCAAAATATGCAAGAGTCTTAAAGTAAATGACCTTGTACACACATGAATAATTATTTTAAATATACATAAACCACTATTTGTTACAGACAATTCAGCATCAGATTTGAAATTTTGGGAGAAAGTTGTTAGAAAATTGCACAAATATATATTTTTGTGCATATTTAAGAAATTATATAAAACTGAACCCTTTTGAATAAAGCTGTCATGGTGACTGTTTTTAGCTGATTTCACTGATGTGTCAGCTAGCCATGTGTGTCAGTGTTTATCAGTCAGCAGGTCAGGAGAATTTTTGAACACAGTTTTCTAGTACAGTTTTAGGAATCCTGTATTAGTTAGTGTGTTACTCTTCCAGCACTGCTCCAAAGGGCCTGGCTCCCCCATAAGTCCAATGTCATACCTGCTAGCCCTACATAGAAGGGTTGAATACTCAGAAACATGCACCTGCATTTCCATTTTCATATTCTGACTGTTTCTAGACTTAATTAAACAGACTAGATCCCTATTGACTAGCTAGGCACCTTGCTCACAGATAGACTACTACATTTAGACACCAAAGATAGGTGTCTGCTATCTGGAACTGAAGGTAATCCCTAGTTTTGGATCTGAAAATATTCATATGTGTGAGGCAAGCAGCAAGTCAAGATATTGGACATCTGGGCAGGCACGGAATCATATCTTTATGTTTGTATGGAAAACATACAAACTGTGAGCTTTTCAGATGCCTCAAATGCTCGCTGGGGTTTTGAGTGTTGCACCCAAAAGTTCACAAATTCTTGTGATTTTGGGCCTCAGAGAACATTACAGTGCAAAACAGGCAAAATTCCCTGAGGTTAGGCACTTCTAGAGTTAAATAGTAAGTCACATGAAGACTATCTGGATCCCATTCTGGGTAATGGAATTTATTGGATTTAACCTCCACCCTATGGAAGTGCATCTCGGGGAAGCAGAGGATTGAAGAGGTAGAAGTCTTCTAAGTGACATGAATGCTGACAAGAGGAGGCCTAGCTGCTCCGTATTGTTAGGAATGAATTTGAGAATGCCAGTGTTGGAGAGAAGGCTGGAGGAGAGCAAAACGGTCTGTGTGATGTTTTTGAAAAGCTTACTGGACACTTCATTTGGCTAAGTATCTTTAAAAATCCTAGTATTGTATCACTTGGGGAAACAATGTAGCATGAAAAATACTGAATTATTTTCATTCTTTGCCAAATGCAGGTAGTCTACCACAACTATGCTAATCACTGCCCTGAAAACAAATTGATACAGCTGTTGAGTGATTAGGAAAATGATGGTAAATTTCTTTCTTAAAAAAACCCCAACCAAGCAACTAAACAAACAAAAAAACAAAGAAAACCCCTAAATAAAACTGCTTTTGCCAGCAGGATT